GGGGGGCGGGGCAGCAGCAGCGGCCTGGTTGGTTACAAACATCGCAGGAGCCTGGGCGGCGGTTGGCCCTGGGTAAGCAGCCGGTTGTTGGTTGTACATATTATACATGGCTGGGTGTCCGTACTGGATCTGGTTTGCACCAGAGGAGAGACAGGATAAAGTGATTTTTTTTCATTTTTTTTCTTTTAAATACATACTATTGCTATTATGAATGTGATATAAGAAATTATTAGATGATGTTGGAAGTGACTATAATTCATTTCTTACAAACGTATACCCTCGGTAAACGGTGTTTATAAAAACGTTAGGTAAGGGCAAAAGCCACGATTAAAATGATTTAAATCAGCTCTCGGCAACGTGAGAGCTCTGCAACCTCGTCATGGAATGCGTTATTTCCACCACAAGACCGCAATTTAGTTTGGACAAGAGGCACGAATTTGTGTTTTCACGCACAGCGCCTTGGTCCACTGGTAGTGGGGACCAGCTTATGTTAATCTTATACGGAGGTACAAGTTGCAGGAAGGGTGATGTTGGTCCCTCTCCTCTGGGGTGATGCCTTGTGACTGCCTTACAACTTAGCTTTGAATTATCAAGGCGACACCCAGATCTTACTCAGTGAATTGGGCAAGCTGTAATGCATCGCAGTCATTGAGACCCCTTCATTCCACAACTTGTTGACGCGGTTTTTTTTTTTTCGTTATCTCAAAAAGCGGGCATTCATGGAACACCACATACGATTTTCTGCATGACTTTGTAAAGGAGATTGTTGGGCTGACAAATGGTAGGATAATGCAGGAACAACTTTCTTTGTCTCTGGGCTTCTGTAAACGTAGTCTTGATAAATTTACAATTGAAAAGTGAATCTGAATTACGTACACAAGTGGAGGGGTGCTATTTGAAAATTTGAAAAAAACAATTGTCAGATGGCCACATGTAGGACTGGAGATGTCACTTTTGAGGAAGTGAGTTTGCATTGGTGTGAATATGTTAACATGTAAACAGCTTACCCTCGAAATAAAAAAGAAAAAGAAATGGAAAGACCATGGAGGTAGAAACAGAAGAACGTTGGATGGAACAAGATGATGATTTCATTTCTGTTCGAGAATCAACAATGATGTCGGCTGTCATGTTGTTTGGGCCAGAACTGTGCTGAATGTACTGTTTTCAGTGGTTGCTTGAATTCGTGTGGTGCATGCACCCTATAGACCCATAGTTATCGCAAAAACAACAAAAAACAACAAATAACAACAACAACAACAACAACAACAACATCAACAACAGCAGCAACAACAACAACAACAACAACAAAAAACAAGGGTTTGAGCCATTGAGAATAATACGATGTTTGTTACCGTGGTGGTTGCCGGCTGGTATTCCTTCATGACGTAGCAACAATAGGCGGAAGCAACGATCGACACAACCAGCTCCGTCAGGGAAGCGACCACCAGGACTGAACTCAACCCGAGTTCTGCCTGAAGGGAAGTAGTGGCGAAAATTGGTGGCGGAAATCGGGGAGGATGGAGGGTGGATAATTGTGGAAAAGGGTGTCACTTGTTTGGCAATGGAAATTTGAAAAGTGGTGTTGGGGGGCGATGGTGCTGACACAGTATGACACTATGTTCGGGGCGATCTGTAATAATGTGTTGCATTCAATTACTGTACATAAGAACGGCATATTTATGGCTTTTTGTTCTCCTTTTAAGTGCTTTGGATACATTTTGCCTGTTGGAAAATCCGAAAAACCACCCTCCACACCCACCACAAAAAAGTTGGAGGATGCTTTGATAGCCCATTCCTCACCTCAAAAGGTTGGGGATATATTCCCCCATTCTCCTCATTACTGACCTCTTAGACGGCGGATCAAGAACTGAATTATCGTTTGGACAATTTTAAGGGGGGTGGGGTTGGGGATAGTCCATCAGGCCAATATGGCCATTGTGTAAATGATCCATGAGGATTATGGAGGAAGGAAAAAGGGAATTATTGTTTAAATGAAACCCCCTTTGCGGGGGTTGAGGTTCAATCAGATAAAAACGGAAACCGTCCATCTGTGTAAAGTTGTTACTCTTTGTGAGTACTTTGCGTTTGTTGGTGACAACTATTTATCGCTGTGTCTTATTTCTGGCTTGAATGTAAAGAGATGCATTTTAGGGCTCGATAGCAGAACTTGTGGTTTTTGATCTTACAGAGACATCAAAGTAGTAGGAGTAGCGGTAATAGGCACTTTCAGAAATGCAGATGCCGTATAGGATGATGTTGGTACCAGCCATGACTGCGGCAAGAATGGACATGACCATGGTTGCAATCGCCTGCAGAAAAAGGCAACAGAAACAAGACAGAACATTACTACTATAAATATGCCCAAATGCAACTCTTCCTGCAGCGTGCAAACTACAGACGATAAAACCTTGCGATAACACTGAACTTCCAGCGCAATTGTTTATTTTTTAATTCATTCAAAAACGCCAATATCTTACCAAACATCTTCGCGAAGTAACACCGACTGTAATGGACAATATGCCCAGGATTCCAGCGGGGAGGTAAAACTGGAATGGAGAAAACGCCAAAAAAATATAAATAAATAAATAAAAAAAAATCCAATCAAAGATCAAGTCTTGCATTATTGCTTCACTCTTCATATTGAACTTCACTCTCTGAGGGCTGGAAATATGTGTTCAAGTAACCAGTCAGACCCATTCTAAAGAGGAAAAACGGTACTCCTGTTGGTTCATTTTATAGGTAGACTTAAAAAGTGTCAACGAAAGTTGAAAAAGGATGTTTTAAGTTTCGACGTACAGGTCAGTCCTTTGACCAGAAGGAAAGCTTTCTTCTTCAGGAATGATGCTGCGATGAAAGAAAAATGCCGGAAGCGATTCTACCACCTTTTATAACCTGTGGTTCATACATATTGTTATGTATAAAATGTTGATTGTCGATATTCGTTTTCCTCTGGTATCGACTCTCTGCCCCCCATAACCCCTATCAGCTCTTTATTGACTGAGTCATGCACAGCATGGACTCCGTATGACGGACTTCATTCGCAACGCAACACTTACGAGATCGTTTGCGACGAAAACATCCTGATTTCGTTGCAAAGAAATCATTTCATATTATAATCATGATGCATAACAGGTTTCTTAAAAAAAAACACACACACGTAAGAAACGTAACGTACCGCGAGTCCTCCCCAAGCACCAGGCGCGATAAATGCCAAGGTGTAGTACCCCGAGACAACAGCGGCTGCAACGCCCAAAGCGGCTGACACCCCAGCCAGGACGATCTGTAAAATCCCCAGCGACTTGACCGAGCAGGTGTACCGGCTGCGCCGGGGAAGCTGCGGGGAGGCCACCTGCATCTGCACGGTCGGAATCGGAGTTACCGGGTTCATCGTGTCCTGTTGTCTTGTTCCTGTGTTCAAACTGTTGGAGAGGCATAACACCTTAATTTAAACAATAACCATGCTTAATTCTCGGGTTAAGCCTAAACTGTCCTGGGCGTTTCTCTGCGGTTCATTCATGAGTTATTGAGTGATTTCCAGTGGATGTTTCACAGTAAATGTGTCAAAATTCGGATCAACCGCCCCCGTATATCGTCGATTTGCCAAAACAAGTATTTTGGGCATTTACAACAAAAAGACCCTTGGTTTCGATGACAGTTAACATAGACTTTTAATATTGGGGCCTATTTTATTGATGTTGGCAGCGTAGAGACGATAAAATTAAAATTTTTCCTTACTTGAAACTTGCAGATCCAGATGAATCCGAAAACGCTGCTTCGCCTGATTCTCACGAGAAATCAAAATGGCGAAAAGATTAGTTTTTGTCGACGTATCTTACGGTTCGAACCGGTGACGGCACTGGCTGTAGCTTGGAAAATGATTGGATATCTCGCATGTTGAGGACAAGGGTGCGGGGCAACTGTTAATGAGTAACTTGTCACGTCGTATTTGTGTTCAAAGTGCAAACGAAGAGTTCTCTCGGAGTCAATTGTGCCGATCAAAATAGCGCTGTATGTCATCGCCTCTACCTCACGTGAAAACTAGTCGATCGCTAGAACAGGACCCGTGACGCTGACGCATTTGGTGATATGCATCGGGGACAGCAACTTCTTTAGAAACATCGTGCACGGCTCTTCAAGTCCAAGCATGCAATTTCGTAAGCAAAAGAGAGCAACAGAGGCGTAGCCACGAGGGGGGAGGACGTTTACCCACAAATTCCCGGGCCCGGGCCCGGCCCCCAGGTGTCTTTACCACTAAAAGACGGATTAGTGGATATTGAAAAGGCTTTAAAAACTTGTCCCCCAAAAAACCACACCCCTGAAAGCTGGTGCCTCCAGATGCTGGTGCGCCTCCCCCTTGTGCCTCCCCCTGTGACCGAAAGCCGGAGGAAGAAGAAACGATTTATGCTCGAGAGTTTGTCTTTTCCCCGTTTTATTTCCTTTTGGTTCGCGTAATTTAATCACCAAGGAAGAAACACTGAATAAATGCTTCCTAAGTCAAAATTTGAATATCAGGTCCAATTTTGTCTTATCCAGGCGATCGCTGGCATTACTGGAATTTTGATCTACGCCGGCAAGATGGCACGCGACAAAACACCACCGCTCAATTTGATTCATTGCTAGCTTTGTCACGATTACAATTTAAGATTCCGGGTTTATTTTTCTTTTTTGTCTACTGGGTCTAGTGACAAAATTTCACAAACAGAGAAGACATGTATTTCGTTTATACCTTTTATAAGATGGACATCTTAAATGAAGGTGATCAGAACTTATGACGTTGTGCATGGATGATTAGAACTCGCACACGGCGCTAAGGATGATTGGCTGAAAGGAATCTGCATGACATTGCGTGAATCACTCCCACTGCTGAATTATTCAATAGGAGTCGACTGTTTTGACGGGTTGCTAATTACAAAACTTGTGAAATACACACAAGGTCATTGCGAAATTCAAATCGAGACTAATTTGATCGCAGGCTTCTCTAACGTGCCTTAAAATAACTTTTAAAATATATTCTCTGGGTATCTGTGCATTACAGCAAGAATACAACAGATTCTTATGCGGTGAGGCAGGTGGAATGAATACGGGCGATTCACAATAGCGCGCCTCCATGCGTTGGCCAATCACAATGTACGAAATCTATGGGGGGAAGGGGGTTCGACAGAATTCGCACAATAGGGGTTAGTTCGAGCGGCTTGTTCCCGGATGTTCACGAACAGCTCGATTTGTTGTTCGTGGGTCGGCCACTCGAACGCCGGGAACAAACAACTGGTTATTACAAGCAACATGGCGGCGTCTGTGTACGTTATTCGAGAGTTAAGGTTTCGGTGGGCTGAATTCTTTTCTATATAAGCAGGAACATTCATTTCTGTGTTACGGAAAATAATTAATGTTAATTTTGCAAAACTCCCCATTGTCTATGGCTTTGGAAGCCATCTCTCTATTTTTGCAGCTGTTCAAAAATCAAAATCTCACGAGTTTTTCCGTGTGTTCCTATAAAACTCTGACGAGGAGGTGGTGTGTGACCCTGTTCCGAGAAAAGTGTTCTTGAGTCGTGTTCCCGCCGTTCGAGGGCGAGAACAAGAAACCTGTGTCAAGAACAGGCCGCCCGAACACGACCTACGATTGGCCACCTCCTTGCAAACTCTTGGAGGCGCACTATTGTGAATCGCCCGCATTAAGCTATACCTTCGGCTATCCTGTAGTACACGGAAGCAATGATCGACACGACCGGCTTCGTCAGGGAAGCGACCAACAGGATTGAATTCAACCCGAAATGCACCTGAAAATTAAGAGCACACAACTTGGCAAGAAGGGGAGGCATGTTTGCTGCCCTCGTTAATGGCGGATCCAAAACAGAATTATTTTGGGGTAACTAAAGGGGCGGGGTTGGGGGTAGTACATCAGGTCATTATAGTTAAAGCCCCCATACCGTCTTTACATACTTGCTGGGAAGAGAATCGGCATTACGGACCCTCGTTATTTAAATGAAACCTTTATTTTATCTTTGTAAGGGTTAGGCTAAGTTTTCAAAACAAACAAAAAATCGTGTGATTGTGCAAGTTGTTGCTAACTGTGAGTATTTTGCGTGTGTTGGCGACAGTGTTCCTTGCTGTAGGTTATTTATGGCTTTGATTTAACGAGACGATTTTTAGGGCTCGATGGCAGAAGGCATGGCACTTTATCTTACAGAGCCATGCATATTATGAAGTCTGTGTGATGCCATTTGTAATTCTTACAATGTCAAACAACATCGCCACCACTACACTTTCCAGATCGTTTCCAAGGACAACGCCATGATTTTGTTTTGATCGGAAAGGAAGCATAAAGTAGGTAGATTACATGATGTCTTATCAGAGTATTTTTAAATGAGTCACAAGAAATATATGCCAGACCTACCGCGAGCCCTCCCTGAGCACCAGATCCTACGGCTGCAATGCCACGGTGATACATGACAGTGGATGCAATGCCCAAAACGGCTGATACCCCGGCCAGGACGATCTGTAGGATTCCAAGCGACTTGACCGAGCAGGAGTACCGGCTGCGCCGGGGAGGCCGCGGGGAGGCCACCTGCATCTGCACGGTCTGCATCGGAGGTGCCGGGAGCATCGTGTGCTGTTGACTTCCACCTGTTTGAAACTGTTGGACAGGCACAGCACTTCATTCCAAATGTCCTTGCTTTATTCTACGGTTAAACATGAAAAGGCCATGGTGTGTCTGTGCAGCGCATTCATGTGTTTTTGAGTGATTCCCTGTGGACGTCAAGTGCCAAAATAGTGTCAAATTCTGGACGTACCGTCCTCGCAAACTGTCGATTACTGATTCAAGTCATCGTAAAATTGCATCCTTTCTCGCATTTACAACACAGAGATCATTAGTCTGGCCCTGGTCACCAATAATACTGATTTTTTTATGTGCCCTATTAGGCCTACTATTTGTAACCTGAATAATTAAAACCTAAAAAGCCTGAAAACTAAATTATTGATATGATAAATTTCCTTACTTGCAACCAAACTTACAGATCCATTTGATATATGAACCCGAAAACACTGCTTGGATTCTCACCAGAAATCAAAATGGCGGAAAGATTGAGTTTTGCCAACGTATATTGCAATAAAAACTGGGGATGGCACCAACTAGCTCGCATACGTCACAGCACTGTTGAACATGGACACGTTTGTGTGAAGGGCACCCAACCGAGAAATTCTCCACGGGTTAAGCGCCAGTTAGCACCAAAAAAAAACAAAAAAACTTTAAATTCACCTACCTTTTGGACGGGCTGCCAAAACTTGCAGTAATATTACCCTTTTGCTGGTTCTCGATTTTATCTCAAATTCGTTCAAAATGGACAGTTGCCGGAGAAATCTGAGGATTGTATTTTCATTTCATATCGAGTAACACGTGTATTATTATCTTGGGTTCTTATAGCTACGTGGGATTTTAAACACTCTTAATCTTTTACTTTTGTACCGACGGCCAACTCTAGTTTTTGCCGTCACTGGTAGGAAAAAGACAACTTAGACATCAAAAGAGTAAAGCCCACAATGGCGCTTTACGTCATTACCTAATACCTATACCCCCTTTGGTAAACACTGGTCAATCGCTAAAGGAGGATCCGGGTACCAGTGAAAGAAGAAAGAAAAGCTTATAAATAGGAATGCTTCCCATGTTTTGAATACCAGACCCGATTTATAACCTAGTCCAGGAGATCGCTGCTTTCATTGAATTTTGATCTACGCAGGCAAGATAGCAGGTGACAAAAATACCAGCGCTCGAGTCCGTACTGCTGGCTTCACCTCAGCGGTACAACGGCGGGTAGAATTTGCGGGTGATGGAGAGGCCCCTTGGCCCCCTCCAAATTTCGGAGTCTAATGGTATCAACTTTGTAAGTGATCGAACATTCCAAAAACGTGGCTTTTCCAGGTAGTGGTGGTGGGGGGGGAACTGGAAATTATTCTAGTAATGACCGTCCATAAACATTTATTTTCTTCCCGAAAAGTAATCCTCATGTCCCAACCGAAGGGGTTATTATGGATTTATTAAGCCTATCATCCGGAAAATGAAACGTGTATGCACATTGAAAATGTAAATGCCACAACTTTTATTGTCTTTGTATATAACTACCACTCTAGGTTGCTCTGAAGTTTGAAAAATAGAATAATTGCTGTTTATATCAATTTCACTTATGTTTTCGCTATGGTTCGTCCTTGTATCGCCCGTCCTGACTGACTGACCGACCGACCGACTGACATACAGCCCGACAACCCAACAGACAGACAGCCCGACGGTGGGTGACCTAAACTGTATGTTTCCTTCCTATTCCTCATGTTGGCGGTAAACTGCATTCCCGGTCGTGATTATGACCTGTGTAACCCTGCAACAACCGTATTGTAAGGTCTCTCTGTAGTGGAACGAACGAAAAATGATATCGCAGGGAAAAAAAGGAATAAAAGGCCACTTGAAAGACTGTGTAACATAGCAAAAATAGAATCATATTGTATACAGTTTAAAAAAGCGGAATTTACCACAAAGGTACTGTCTAATACAAAAGTTATTTAATTTAAGCTTTATAAAGCTATCTTCAATTATTCAACTAAAATACATATATTATACAAAATGTCTGTACTTTTCTATATGGGAGGCTAATAACCATATTCATGAAAAAATGCAAAATAATTGCGAAATTCAAGCTCACACTAAGTTATCGCAGAAGACTTGCATATTCTCATTAAATGCCGACCACGCTAATGTACTGTATAATGATTTTGCACATTTTTTTTCTTTCCAAAACAGGGCACCAGCAAGAATACTACAAGTTCTTATGCAGTGAGGCATACTGAGTAAAAAAAAGTAATACCTATATACCTCTGATTATCTCGCGATCGCTTAGAAGAGTCCAAACAATATTTCCCTCCATTTCTCCCAAGTAAATTTTTACCAGTTTTGAATCTTCTGCTTTCAGACTTTGATATCAAATGTTTTACACAAGAGCAGGTATATTAAAGAGAAAAGCAAACAAAAAAAAAAAGGAAAAAAAGGGTCAATTTTCATCGGACCATTTGTTTTGTCTTTCTAACGATTTCTCTTGACGCATAGTTTTAAGTATTCGCATAGGTGACGTCTAGGTCAATTAAAGTCGCCCGTTGATACTCAGGAAAAACCGACGGCTGTTTCGTGAAGCAAACTCAAGCCAAGTTGCCCTTTCCAGCGTCTGAAACAAGGTACGAGAGACAAGAAAAGATAATGATAACAAAACCCTACATTGAGGGTATCCACACCGCATAGTCGTTTATCGAACATGCCCATGACAACAGAAGAAGGACCGGTGTTCCATTTCCAGGCAGACTTGGCTAGAAAACCGTCCGGTTGGTCAGCATGAGGGCTAGTGGAGGCCATGGAAACAGTATGAGTTTCACCCAGTCTGCCCCCCTCCCCTGATACGATCACTGGCTAGATATACATTTATGTACATACCACCTATGCCGGATGAAGCGGCGATCCCGTAGGTAGGGGGCGGGGCAGCAGCAGCGGCCTGGTTGGTTACAAGCATTGTAGGAGCCTGGGCGACGGCTGGCCCGGGGTAGGCAGCCGGTTGTTGGTTGTACGTATACACGTTTGGGTGTCCGTACTGAATCTGTTTTTTTTCACCAGGGGGAAAACAGGATGAAGTGATTTATTTTCCTTCTTTTTTTCTTTATTTAAAAAGCAAAACGGTTATTATAAATGTGATGTAAGATATTATTAGACGATGATGAATTCATTTCTACGTATCCAACACGGGAACCTCGTTATGGAATGCCGTATCGCTACCATGAGACCGAGATGGAGAAACAATTCATAGTTTTGAGCATATTTTCTTCTATTTATTTTCGAAATGAGCTTGCGTTTCCACGTAGAGCGCCGTGGACCAGTCGTTAGGGTGTTCAGCTTACATACAAGCGGGAGGAAAAGTCTGCTGATGTATGAGAGGAGACTTGTGATCCCTCTCGGGTGGTGTCCCGTGACCGCCATACTATTAGTTTTCCCGGTCAATTTCAGCAAATAAGCGGCCAAGTTAACCTCCATGCCATTCTGTTTCGCGACAAATCGATTTCGTTTCAAGACAATGGGCAAATTACCGTTGCGTCATTCGATGTAACAAAAAAAAATCACCCAAATTAACAATTCAACGAAAAGCATTCAAGTTAGCAGGCGCTTTTTGGTGTTCATTTATCGGGCGAGCTTTTCTGTAATTTATTCAGTCTAAACAACTGCAGGGAGATGGCACATTCTGCTTTCACTGCTGCAAAGGAACGCACCCTGGGGTTACCGGAGTGGCAGCAAGATGCTGGAGACAGACCGGCTGCCCGGCAAGCACGAATGAACCTGCAACAGCGGAAGGGCGATCTCCTTCTGCAAGCAGTCATTCAGAACGTTGATAGTATCACTCAACCGAAGTGCATGCAGTGGTATACATGCAATCATGTTCAAACATAATATGCCAAGATGTCTGGCACGTCAACAGATTGATCGTTGAAAAAGACAGAAACAGCATAGATACAACTAAGAAATCAGGATAAATGAAGGGCATAAAGAAGCCTTTAACAAAATATCGTTTTCCTTTGTTTGGTTTTGTTATGTTGTTTTTTTACATTTCTCTATCCTCCTTTAATTTGAATTTTCAATTTTGCGTAATTGATTGCTTCTGTACGAAATTAACAATTAGGAAAGCAACCAAAATCTCCAGTCGAACCAGGTTTGCTAAACTGAATGACGATCTTGCGTCACGAAAAAGAACAGCGCTATATCCTAAATTGAACACACTGCTCACGGATGCCAAATGACTCACAACGAAACTGAATGCATAGATTTCGAACTTCAGACACAGCAAAAAACTTGTCAGTGGAAAATGGGCTCTATTCCGAAGGCACGAAAATTAAACCGGCTGCTCTTTTGCGGATATTGACAAGGAAAACCTGTACTTATCTTTGAATTATATCAAGGCAAGACGTCACCTAGACCTAATTCACTCTGTGATCTGGGCGAGGTGGAATAAACCCACGTGATTAAGACGCCTTAATTCCACGATATATAGATATAATTTTTCCCGACCCAGTGTGCATCTCTGAAAGCGGGAGCATAAAGAGCAGCGTATAATTTACAGATATCAAACTCGGCACACACCGATCTCATGGCCAGATGGACAGGGGTGCACCACACTGATTGTTATTTGTGAGATGAGGATTAGCACGAAAAGTGCTCTCTACAATTCATTTTTGAAAAAAAGTTATTTTTTGGGCTGAAAAATATCTGGATTTTCCAAGTTTAACCCAGATCAACATTTCTTTGTTTTTTATACGTCTATCGTGGGCAGTCTTGATAAAATTACGGTTGAAAAGTAAATGCTTACACAAGTGAAGGGATGCCATTTAAGTAGTTGTAAAATTTGGAAAATAACCGCGTGCAGGTTTGGCAAGTATTACTTTTGGCAGGCGAATTTGTTCTGGTGTGAAGATTAACATCAAGACTAACCTACCAACAAATTTATTACAAATGGAAAAACGAAGTGATGAAGAACGACATATTGACATAATTTTTGCCTGAGAAACCTCCATGATGTCGGCTGTCACATTATTTAGGCCTGAACTGCGTGGAGTTTTTCACTGCTTCCAATGATGGCTTGAATTAGTATGGTGCACTCTATAGGCCTAATTATCTTAAAAAGGTTTGAGGCATGTACAATAATATGGTATTTGTTACCGTGGTGGTGGTCTGCTGGTATTCGTTCATGACGTAACAGCAGTAGACGGAAGCAACGATCGACACAACCAGCTCCGTTAGAGAAAATACCAAGACAATCGAGTTCAGCGCTACTGGCGTCTGAAATTAAGAATAAGCAGCTTGTCAAGAAGGAAAGCAGTGGCGAAAAATGGTGCCGGAATTCAGGGAGGATAGGGGATGGCAGGGAAGGGGTTGACTTGCCCGGCTGTGGAGATTTGAAAAGCGTGTGGGGGTGGTGCTGACACTACACCGAAAAATTGCCTGGGTTAAATTTTAACCCAAGGCAGGGTGAAAACTGCAACTACCCAAATATGGGCTGTGTTGACCCAATTTTGGGTTGAGAATTACTTTCTGTTTCAGTTTCCACCCACAAAATGAGTGGATATTAACCGTTGTTTGGTTAAAATAACCCCGAAATTAATTTCAATCACCCAAATTGGGTCCAAACAACCTAAACTATTGGGTAGTTGAAGTTTTCACCCTCGCTTGGTTTAAATTTAACCCGAGCAATTTTTCAGTGATATATGGAACTGTATTAGGCGCGAAAATCATGCCGCAGATGTACCTCTGCAATTGGTATTTATGCCTGCCGAATTTTACATCAGAACGGCATATTTATGACCCTTTTCTACTGTTCTCCCATTCTCCGCCTTGATTTTTTTTTTCTCAACACAAAAAAGTTGGGGGATGATTCAATAGCCCATCCCCTCTGGTCAAAAGGTTACTCCCAGGAAAGAAAGGTATCATTTACTGGCATCTAATACAACCATGGGCAATTCTGAGGTGGCGGGGTTGGGGTTAGGCCTATTCAGTCTGGTCAGCATGATGAAAGCCCTACCGTCTTTGAGTGCATGAATATCCGAGAATCTGAGGGAATGAGGATCCCGGATCATCATTATTGAAATGCACCTTCTATTACATCTTTGTTAGGGCCGAGGCTAAATAATTTGACAACAGAGAAACCCAAACCGTCAGTTATTGGTAATTGGGAGTATTTTTCTTTTATTGGTGATAATATTTCTTAGTGCGGATGCTTTTTATCGCTCGATTGCCAGAGAAGTGTTTTTTCCCGTTTTTTTTCTTACAGAGCCAAAGAGGTAGCCGTAAGGACCAACTTGCCCCACGCCGAAGCCGTACACTATGAGGTTGACACCAGCCATGATCGACGAGAGAATGGACATGACCAAACATGCAATAGCCTGTGAAATGGAAACGAAACAACATAACTCATCATCAAACTTGGGCAAATGTATACTCCAATATAATTCCAATAGCAGCGTGCAAGCTACATGTAATAAAACTTTGCGATGACACTGAACTTCCACCGCTGTAGACCAGATCTGGATGAACCCCAGCTTTGAATATTCAACATCGAAAGACTGAGACTATTTCAGTTGGTGGCGTTCTTCAGTGGGGTATTACAGAGCTCTTTGTTGACCACAACTTTATGGGCTGCCAAAGTTTGTAGAAATATCACCTTCTGCTTGGTTTTCGAGCTAAACTCAAATTCGTTCAAAAAAAAAATTACCCCTTTAAAGTTAAATGTACGGTTGTATCTTCAGTTAGCATTAGTAATACTGGTCTGGTCTTCTGGAAGCGGCGTGGCATTAGAACCCGTCACGGGTATTCACGTATATTGCATGACCCCCCTCCCAGTGAAAGCAACACCGTCCATTTCAAACATAACATGCAGTACTTATCATTCCTATTCTTTTTAAAAGGACACTCTTATTTCGATGGCGCTTTTCCTGTCATCCTGTTTGCTTTGAGAGATCCATAGATATGCCCAATGAACAGGAGTATATATGAATACTAAGTCCTCTTTGAAACCGTGTAAATCAGGTTATAATAGCACTAGTTGGCCTTTTCCGAAATGGACGGTGACACTTTTTTGGAAGGGGGGGGTTGTACATTCCAAATAAAGGAGTTTGTAGATCACATGGAAATGTGCACGTCCTTTGTGAGGTTTGGTGGCCTGTTGTTTTTTCCACGATTTCATTTTCTTTAGCCATTTCTTAACTCAGTCAAACGCCAATATCTTACCAAACATCTTCGCGAAGTAACACTGGCCGAAACGGACAATATGCCCAGGATTCCAGCGGGGAGGTAAAACTGGAATGGAAGAGACACAAAAATATATCAATCAAAGATCATGTCTCGCATTCCCTTATTGATTCACTCTTCTTCATGAACCTCACGCTCCTAGGACTCGAAATATGTAATCAAGTAAACAGCCAGACCCATTCTTACATTGTAGAAGGAAGAGAAATGGTACCCATGTTTATTTGTAGTATAATGTAAAAAAAGGTCACGTCGTGCAGCCGCCTTTTGCTTTCCATGCTTCACAGAGGAACTGTTTATATATAGTCAACAAAGCAACATATAAACTTTCGACTCCCTCGATATTCGTTTTCCTCTGGTATCGATGATCTGTCCCCATGGCTCCTCTCAGCTCTCTGTTGACTGAGTCGTGCATTATGGAGTCCGTAAAATGGTATCGAGTCTGTAATTCTTGGAGTTTCAAGCTAGATCTGAACAACAACACTTTCCAGATTGTTTCCAAGAAATGGAATCATAAAATAGGTGAATTACATGATATGAAATATTGAGTAGTTTTGAAATAGACCACAAGAAACATGTGCTAGACGTACCGCGAGCCCTCCCCAAGCACTAGATCCAATAACTCCGATGCCATAGTAAAAGGTGACAGCGGATGCAATGCCAAAAACGGCCGATAATCCGGCCAGGATGATCTGTAGAATCCCCAGCGACTTGACCGAGCAGGAGTACCGACTGCGCCGGGGAGGCTGCGGGGAGGCCACCTGCATCTGCACGGTCTGAATCGGAGGTGCCGGGAGCATCGTGGTGTTTTGACTTTCTCCTGCTGAGACTGTTGGAAAGGCACAACTCGTAGCTTCAGATAAATTGCTTAATTCTACGGTAGGCCTAAACCCTGTAAACGGCTTTCTGATATTCATCGCATTTGAGCATTTTTGAGCGATTTCCTGCTGACGTCTCGTGGCAAACGTGTCAAAATTCGGTCGAACTATCCCAGCAAAAAGGTCAATTTCCTGTTTCAAGTAATCATATCTTTCTGTATTTACGACACACACAGAGACCACTTGCTGTGCTGACAATTAATGCTGATTATTTAAATATTATTAGTACATGTATTTGTTGCCGAGAAACAATAAATCCAATCTAAGTTATCTTGGATAGTTTTTAATACAGGAAAATGAAAGTTTTCCTTACTTGAAACCAAACCTGTAGATCCAGTAGAATCTGAAAACACTGCTCCGATTTCCTCGGGAAACCAAAATGGCGGAGAGATTAATTTTTGCCTACGTGTATTGCGGTGAAAACTGGTGATGGCACCAACTAGCTCGCATACGTCACGGCATTGTTGAACAAGGACGCGTTTGTGTGAAGGGCACCCAACCGAAAAAAAAATTCCACAGAGCAATAAACCGCTTTATGTCATAACACTAGTCAATTGCCCAGAGAGAAACTGGGTGCCCGTGACACGGACTTGATATACAATAGAGGAAAGAAACGCTGAATAAGTAAAGAATGCGCTCAAAGCCAACAGTTGAATAGTATACCGGATCCAACATGTACTCCTGTCAAGGCGACCATCCATTTTGTTTACCAACAAAACAATTCACATTCCCGCTGAGAAAGGGGGGACAGGCCTACGTATAATAGGTTATTTATCTGGAAAATGATTCCTCTATACACATTGAAAATGCAAACGCACGGTGTATATTTATACTTCCACTGTATAGCTTTGAAACATGACAATTGGGAAAGTGTTTATGAATCATGATATGAATGCTTGCGTCATCCAGACAGACAGCCCAACGGTCAGACAGACTTGTAAGTGACATAGGCGCAAACTAAAATGCATTTTTCCTTTATGTTCCCCGTGTTGGTGGTAAGCTGCATTTCCTGGTCGTGATTATGAACCGTGTAACAGCCATGCCGGTGCAACAACCGTATCCAAATGCCTCTCGGTAGTTGACACGATTGACGAATAATAATAACGCAGAGAAAACGAACAGCAGGGCATTTACAAGATTGTGTAAGGTGAGAAGGTCCAATCACATTGTTCGAAGCTGTAAAAATACCAGAACACAATAAGAATATGAAGCAAACCTATTCAAAATGGTTTTCGCTATCGTCATTAGGTTTTGAGCCAAGTTAATTGATGAGTATTTAAACATAATTTGTTTTATTTCTTCACTATACGTGTAATTAGCGTCTGCTCTAGAAATAATAACATCAATAGCTACCCAAAAATTAAGCATGGGTTCTTTTAAAGTCAAGCTCATAAGAAATTTTAAAAAAGGTTCAATCATAGAGTGGGTGCTGCGCATTCACAACAGACATTATGATTATGAGTAATTGCTCTCTTTTTGAACAGTCAACGACAGGTCTTTACTGGACCCAGCTTATAGATGACCGTGTCCTTACCAATGTTTGCTATAGACAGCTTAGAACAAATAAAAAACTGGTTTTCACCGTCAAAAAACCTTCCAGATTGTCAGGATGATGGAATAAAACCTGAAATGAACGCGAATTTCACAGAGTTACTTTTTACATATTAAAACTTTACTCCAAACAATTTGCTTTGGAATAATTTGGAAAGCTATCAAGTCGAGCTGGAGCTCGAATGTATAGTAACATTTCTTGTATAATCCTGCGCTTCATAAAACATTTTTTGATGTTTGACCAACTTGCGGGGCACAAACTCGGCGTCACGTCTCATCTACTATATACGGTGTGTGTGTGTGTGTGGGGGGCGGCAGCCTCTTAGTTAGGGGGTGGAGCGGGGACGTGACGGCGGTGGCAGCCTGGTTGGTCACTAACATCGGTGGAGGCGGAGCAGAGGTCAAGATAGCAGGTGACAAAAATACCATCGCTCGAGTTCATTCTGTTAGCTTCACCTCAACGATACAAAACAGTCTGCAGGTAGAGTTTGCGGTTCATTGAGGGGCCCTTGGCCCCCTCAAATTTTTGGAGTCTGAGGGCATCAACTTTGTATGTAACCCACAATTCCATAAACATGGCTTTTCCAGGTAGCGGTGGTGGGATTTAAATTATGTTTTTCACACCTCAGAGCAACCCGAAATGACCGTCCATAAATATTTTCTCCCCAAAAGTAATCCCCATGTCCCCTCAGATGGGGGTAGTTAGGAAGCCTGTCCACCAGAAAAGGAAACGTGTATGCACTTTGAAAATGCAAATGCCACAACTTTTATTGTCTGTATATCTGACTATCATTTTGGGTTGCTCTGGAGTTTGAAAAATAGAATAATTGATGTTTATATCAATTTTGTCTATACTTTCATCCTCCTTGTATCGTCCTTCCTGACAGACTGCCCGATTGACTGACACACAGCAAGACAGCCCGACAGACAGACAACCCGACGGTGAGTGACCAAAACAGTCTATTTATTTCGTCATCTTGGCGGTAAACTGCATTCTTGTCGTGATCATGAACTTTGTAACCCTGTAACAACCGTGTCGCAAGGTCTCTCGGTAGTGGATACGAATGAAAAATGATATTGCAGGGAAAAGGAGCTTAGAAGACTGTGTAAGATAGAAAAAATATCATCATGTTGTATAAGGTTAAAAATGGCGGAATGTACCATAAAGGTATTGTCTAATACATGTATATAAGCTATTAAGCTTTATAAAGCTATCTTTAATTTTTCAACTAAAATACATATATAATACAAAATGTCTGTACTTTTCTATACGGGAGGCTAATAACCAAATTCGTGAAAAAACACAAAGTAATTGCGAAATTCAAGCTCACAATAAATTATCGCAAAAGACTTACATATTCTCATTAAATGCCAACCGCGCTAATGTGCTGTATAATGATTTTGAAAAATTTTTTTCCTTTCCAAAACAGGGCACCAGCAAGAATACTACAAGTTCTTATGCAGTGAGGCATATTGATTAAAAAAATACCTATATACCTCTGATTATCTCGCGGTTGCTTAGAAGAGTCCAAACAATATTTCCCTCCATTTCTCCCAAGTAAATTTATTACCAGTTTTGAATCTTCTGCTTTCAGACTTTGATGTCAAACGTTTTACTGAAGAGCAGGTATACTGAAGAGAAAAGCAAACAGCCCCCCGAAAAATTATAAATAAATAAGCTAAAAGAACAAAGGAAGTCAATTTGCATTGGACCGTTTGTTTTTGTCTAGCGATTTTTTAATACCCTGTTAACGCACAGTTTTAAGTATTTGCGTAGGTGTGACGTCTTGGTCTATAGGTGGCATCTTAGGTGACGTCTTGGTCCGTTGATGTTCAGGAATAACGACGGCTGTTTCGTGAAGCAAACTCAAGCCAAGTTGCCATTGCCCTTTCCAGCGTCTGAAACACGATCAGATACGACAGACAAGAAAAGATAAGTAAAACCTTCATTGAGGGTCCACACCGCATAGTCGTTTTTCGAACGTACCCATGGCAGCAGAAGAAGGACCCACTGTTCCATTTCCAGGCAGACTCGGCCAGAAAATCGTCCGGTTGGTCAGGACGAGTGCTAGTGGAGGCCATGGAAACAGTATGAGTTTCACCCAGTCTCTCCCCCCCCCCATGATCATTGACTTTACATACCGTTTATGCCGGCTGCAGCGGCGGCCCCGTAGCTAGCTAGGTGGCGGGGTAGCAAAAGTGGCCTGGTTGGTAACAAGCATCGCAGGAGCCGGGGCGACGGCTGGCCCGGGGTAGGCAGCCGGTTGTTGGTTGTACATATACATAGTCGGGTGTCCGTACTGGATCTGGTTTTTGCGCCAGAGGGAAGACAGGATGAAGTGATTTATTTTCCTTCTTTTTTTGCTTTATTTAAGAGGCAACACGGTTATTATAAATGTGATGTAAGATATTATTAGACGATGATGAATTCATTTCTACGTATCCAACACGGGAACCTCGTTATGGAATGCCGTATCGCTACCATGAGACCGAGATGGAGAAACAATTCATAGTTTTGAGCATATTTTCTTCTATTTATTTTCGAAATGAGCTTGCGTTTCCACGTAGAGCGCCGTGGACCAGTCGTTAGGGTGTTCAGCTTACATACAAGCGGGAGGAAAAGTCTGCTGATGTATGAGAGGAGACTTGTGATCCCTCTCGGGTGGTGTCCCGTGACCGCCTTACTATATGTTTTCCCGGTTAACCTCCATGCCATTCTGTTTCGCGACAAATCAATTTCGTTCCAAGACAATAGGCAGATTACCGTTGCGTCATTCGATGTAACCAAAAAAATCACCCAAATTAACAATTCAACAAAAAGCATTCAAGTTAGCAGGCGCTTTTTGGTGTTCATTTATCGGGTGAGGTTTTCTGTAATTTATACAGTCTAAACAACTGCAGGGAGATGGCACATTCTGCTTTCACTGCTGCAGAGGAACGCACCCTGGGGTTACTCCAACCATGCTCCAACAAGATGCTGGAGACAGACCAGCTGCCCGGCAAGCACGAATGAACCTGCAACAGCGGAGGTGCGATCTCCTTCTGCAAGCAGTTATTCAGAACGTTGATAGTATCACTCAACTCAAGTGCATGCAGTGGTATACATGTAACCATGCCCAAACATAAGATGCCTGGCGCGCCAACAGATTGATGGTTGAGAAAGACAGAAACAACATAAATAAAAATAAGAAATGAGGATAAATAAAGGGCATAAAGAAACCCTTGACGAAAAAAAATGTTTCCCTTTAGTTACATTAAATTTCTCTATCCTCCTTTAACATAAAGACTAACCTCCCAACAAATTTATTACAAATGGAAAAAGTGAGAAAGAACAACATAATAACACAATTTTTGCCAAAGAAACCTCCACGATGTCGGCTGTCACAATATTTAGGCTCGAACTGTGTCAAGTTTTTCACTGCTTCCAATGGTGGCTTAAATTAGTATGGTGCATCCTATAGGCCAAATTATCGCAACAAGGTTTGAGGAATTTACATGTACAATAAGATGGTATTTGTTACCGTGGTGGTGGTCTGCTGGTATTCGTTCATGACGTAACAGCAGTAGACGGAAGCAACGATCGACACAACCAGCTCCGTTAGAGAAACGATTAAGACAATCGAGTCCAGCACGACTGGCGTCTGAAATTAAGAATACACAACTTGTCAAGAAGGAAAGCAGTGACGAAAAATGGTGCCAGGATTCAGGGAGGATAGGGGATGGCAGGGAATGGGTTGACTTGCCCGGCTGTGGAAATTTGAAAGCGTGTGGGGGTGGTGCTGACACTACACCGAAAAATTGCCTGGGTTAAATTTTAACCCCAGGCAGGGTGAAAACTGCAACTACCCCAAGATGGGCTGTGTTAATCCCATTCTGGGTTGAGAATTACTTTCCGTTTCAGTTTCAATTAATTTCAGTCACCCAAATTGGGTCCAAACAACCCAAACTATTGGGTAGTTGAAGCTTTCACTCTCGCTTGGGTTAAATTTAACCCGAGCAATTTTTCAGTGATATATGGAACTGTACTGGGTGCAAAAATCATGCTGCAGATGTACCTCTGCAATAGGTAGTTATGCCTGCAGAATTTTACATCAGAACGGCATATTTATGGCACTTTTCTACTGTTATTCCCATCCAGTCAAAAGGATACTCCCAAAAAAATAAAGGCATTATTTACTGACATCTTAGATAATATTGGGCAATTTGAAGGGGATGAGGTTGGGGGTAGTCCATCAGGCCAGCATGGTTAAAGCCCTGACGTCTTTGGGTGTAAGAGTTAAGGGATTATGGGGTTGGGAAAGGAGGGTCCCACATCATCATCATTGAAATGAACCCTTTATTACATCCTAGTTAGGGCTGAGGCTAACAATTTTCACCAAAATAGAAACCTAAACCGTAAGTTGTTGGTATTTGGGAGTACTTTTTGTTTATTGGCGACAATATTTCTTGGCGTAGATGCTTTTTCCGGGGTCGATTACCAGAGTGGTGATTTTCCTTTTTTTTCATATCTTACAGGGCCATAGTAGTAGCCGTTAGGGCCAAAGTTCACCATGTCGATGCCGTACATTATGAGGTTGGTACCAGCCATGATCGACGAGAGAATGGACATGACCAAGCATGCAATAGCCTGTGAAATGGAAACAAAACAACATAACTCATCATCAAACTTGGGCAAATGTTTACCCCAATATAATTCTACAAATAGCGTGCAAACTACATCTAATAAAACGCGGCGATGACACTGAACTTCCACCGCTGTAAGCCGGATGGGTTTAGACGTAAGGACTGCGACTAGCAGCAACCTGTGTTGATTCTTCCTCGTAATGGTCATGAAGCTGGTTGAGGGGCAGGTTTGGATGAGCCCCAACTTTGATCAGTGAAAGACTGAGCCTGTTTCAGGTGGTGGTGTTGTTGGGTGGGGCATTACAGAGCTCTTTATAGACCACAACTTGTATGTGGGCTGCCAAACTTTGCAGAAATATCACCTTCTGGTTGGTTTTCCAATTAAACTCAAATTTGTTCAAAATAAAAATTTATCCCATTAAAGTTCAATGCACGGTGGCATTTTCATTTAGCCTTTAGTAATACGAGTCTGGTGTTCTGGAAGCTGAGTGGACTTTTTAAATATTCTTGTACTTTTGTACCGACGGCCAACTATAGTTTTAGCAGCCACTTGTACAAGAAAACACGACAGTGACGTCAAAAGAACAGACCTTATATAGCCTGAGAGTAGCTCCAGTTTGAGATTCTGGAAACAAAATTGGTGCTCATTGTGTGCAGGGGTAGATCTAAGGGGCCATGCCCCCCCCCCCCAAAAAAGAAAAAAAATCAGAGTGTGTTAAGTGGAGGTTGTTTTGCATAGACAGAGCCATTTTGTTCAGGTGTTCGTTTCTGAGCAGCTGTTTAAATGCGAACGATTTTGTCCCCCATCCCCCCTCAAAAATGGCTCTGGATCAATGAACTGTAAATAACGGTACCTACCAACTGTCCATGGGCAAGGGCGCATACAACTGCCATTTTGTTTCCAGCAATGGTAACATTCATGTCGTGACTCTCTACACGGCTCAGGGCCAACAGAACCCGTCAAGAGTGAGCATGTATCGTACAACCCCCAAAGGGAAAGCAATACTCTCCATTTCAAAGATAACATGTCAACTAGCAGTATTTTATCATCACACGGTTTTTAAAATCGCACCCTTCTTTTGACGGCGCTTGTTAGTACGTCATCCTATTTGCTTTGGAAGATCTATACGCCCCAATAAACAAAGGATAGGAATACCTAGTCCTCTTTGAAACCGTGTAAGGCAAGTAATAAGAGCACTAGTTGGCCTTTTTTAAATGGACAGTAACACCTGCGTTGGAAGGGAGGGGGTGCATTACAAGTCAAGGAGTTTGTGGATATCACTTGAGAACACGCAGATCTTCTGTGAGTTTTGGTGGTCTGTTATTTATTCAAACTCCTATTTGGTTTATTAATCTCATTCAAAACCTCAATATCTTACCAGGCCTCTTCGTGAATTGACACTCAGAGTAACGGACAATATGCCAAGGATTCCAGCAGGGAGGTAAAACTGAAATGGAAGAGACACAAACAAATATTAAATATCCAATCTCACGTTTCCCTCATTGCTTCACTCTTCTTCACTGAACCATTCTTACAAGTAGAGATGAGGAACTGGAACATGTGTTTATTCGCAGTATAATGCAAATAAAAAACTATCGAATATCGAAAATTGGACTCTCTCGATATTCGTTTTCCTCTGGTATCGACGATCTGTCCCCATGGCTCCTCTCAGCTTTCTACTGAGTCATGCGCGTTATGGAGTACGTAGAATGGCATCGAGTCTGTAAATCTTAGAATTTCAAACTACATCTGAAGAACGACATTTTCCTGATCGTTTCCGAGGAAAACGCCGTGATTTTTTTCCAAAGGAATCCTGAAATGGTGAAGTACATGATAAACTATAGCAGTTTATTACTTTTGAAATAAACAAGAAACATATGCTAGACGTACCACGAGCCCTCCCCAAGCACTAGATCCTAAATTTGCGATGCCCTGGTAAGTCGCTACAGCGGATGCAATGCCAAAAACGGCGGACACCCCGGCCAGGATGATCTGTAGAATCCCCAGCGACTTCACCGAGCAGGAGTACCGGCTGCGCCGGGGAGGCTGCGGGGAGGCCACCTGCATCTGCACGGTATGAATCGGAGCCGGTTGCATCGTGGTGTTTTGACTTTCCTCCTGCTGAGACTATCGGAAAGGCACAACTCGTAGCTTCGGATAAATTGCTTAATTCTAGCTACGGTAAGCCTAAACCCTGTAAACGGCTTTCTGATATTCATCGCATTTGTGCGTTTTTGAGCGATTTCCTGCTGACGTCTCGTGGCAAACGTGTCAAAATTCGGTCGAACTGTCCCCGCAAAAAGGTAAATTTGCTGATTAGAGTTATCATAATTTTTGCATATACAACACACACAGAGACCACTTGCTGTGCTGACAATTAATGCTGATTATTTAATATTATTAGTACATGTATTTGTTGCAGAGAAACAATAAATCCAATCTAAGTTATCTTGGATAGTTTTTAATACAGGAAAATGGAAGTTTTCCTTACTTGAAACCAAACCTGTAGATCAAGTACAATCCGAAAACACTGCTCCGATTTCCTCGGGAAACCAAAATGGCGGAGAGATATTGCCTACGTGTATTCGCGGTGAAAACTGGTGATGGCACCAACTAGCTCGCACACGTCACGGCATTGTTGAACGCGGACGCGTCTGTGTGAAGGGCACCCAACGAAAAAAAAAATCCTCAAAGGGCAGTCAAAGGTTAGCGAACAATAAACCGCTTTATGTCATAACACTAGTCAATTGCCCTGAGAGAAACCGGGTGCCCTTGACACGGTCTTGATATACAATAGAGGAAAGAAACGCTGAATAAGTATGCACTCATAGCCAACAGTTGAATAGTATACCGGATCCGACATTTACCCTTGTCAAGGCGACTACCCATTTTGTTTACCAACAAAATAATCCACATTCCCGCAGAGAAGGGGGTATAGGCCTACGTATAATAGGTTACTTATCTGGAAAATTATTCCTCTGTACACATTGAAAATGCAAACGCACGGTGTATATTACTTCCACTGTATAGCTTGGAAACATGACAATTGGGAAAGTGTTGATGGATTTATGATATGAATGCTTGCATCATCCAGACAGACAGCCCGACGGTCAGACAGATTTGTAAGTGGCATAGGCGCAAACTAAAATGCATTTTTCCTTCATGTTCCTCGTGTTGGTGGTAAGCTGCATTTCCTGGTCGTGATTAGGAACCGTGTAACAACCATGGCGGTGCAACAACCGTATCCAAATGCCTCTCGGTAGTTGATACGAATGACGAATAAGAATAACGCAGACCTATTCAAAATGGTTTTCGCTATCGTCATAAGGTTTTGAGCCAAGTTAATTGATGAGTATTTCAAAATAATTTGTCTTATTTCTTCACTGTACGTATAATTAGTGTTTGCTCTAGAAATAATAATATCAATAGCTACCCCAAAATTAAGTATGTGTTCTTTCAAAGTCAAGCTCATAAGAAATTTTAAAAGGTTCAATCATAGAGTGGGTGCCGCGTATTCACGACAGACTTCATGACTATGAGTAATCTCTCTCTTTTTTGAACAGTCAACGACAGGTCTTTACTGGACCCAGCTTATAGATGACCGTGTCCTTACCAATGTCTGCTATAGACAGCTTAGAACAAATAAAAAACTGGTTTTCACCGTCAAACAAAATTCCACAAGATTGTCAGGATGATGGAATAAAACCTGAAATGAACGCGAATTTCACAGAGTTACTTTCACACATCAAAACTTCACTCCAAACAATTTGCTTTGGAATAATTTGGAAAGCTATCCAGTCGAGCAGGATCTCGAATGTACATTAGAATTTCTTGTACAATCCTGCACTTCATAAAACACTTCTCGATGTTTGACCAACTTGCGGGGCACAGCCTCGGCGTCACGTCTCATCTACTATATACGGTGTGTGTTGCTGGGGGCAGCCTCGTAGTTAGGGGGTTGAGCGGGGACGGCGGTGGCAGCCTGGTTGGCCACTAACATCGGTGGAGGCGAAGCAGAGTTTGGGTAGAAGGCCACCGGTTGGTTGTACACAAAGAACGGAGGGTTCCCTTGCGTTGGCACATACGGGATCTGATTTTTTTTAATCGACAAAACAGATTCAAAACAAATTCAAACTTCAAACTTGTATTTTTATTTATATATGTGTAAAATGTTCTTTATCATTTTTATTAAATTAAATATGGTGAATGCGAATTTACAGATTGGAAAGACTGCGTATGAGGGATGGAACTTTCACAAGCACCCGACGACTACACTCATGCGCAACTTGGATGTAGATACCGATGTGACTAATAGTGTGTTCGCATTTTGTCATCAGCACTAATGCCTTTAATGAGCCTTTAATTGCCTTTGCAATTAATGAGTTTTGCTCATTAATGGCAAAGGTAAGGTGCGTTTGAAACACCAGATTTCGAGCTGTACACTGACCACTGCGTATACATTGATCATATAGCTAGATGAACTCAGGTCCTTATCGTTCGACACATTCGACATAACCTGAGTGGTTGGGCCTTATCAATGTTACCGTGGTGGTGGTGGTCCGGTATTCCTTCATGACGTAGCAGCAGTAGACGGCAGCAACGATCGACACGACCAGCTCCATCAGGGAAGTGACCGCTATGAGAGAATTCAGAGCCAGCGTCGCATTGTATTTCTGACGAATCAGACCAAACGAACGGCGTGCGAGGAAAGGACGAGAACAAAATAAACTTGAACTTCAAAACGAAATCAACTCTGAGAGATGCCCGTTCATCTTTACAAAGGATGTAATGCATTGTTTTAATCTTCCCTACGGACATGCATTCGAGTTTGCATCACTGGAGAAAAGGTCATCATTTCACTACGAAAGAAAAATTCCCCAAGTCGGTTTTTTTTTCAAATTTCTGGTTTTTTTAAAGCAAAATAACCGAAGCTAACTACTGCCTACAAGGTGGTGAAATATTTTTTTTTTACCAAATCTACTCAAATCAGCCAAATCACGATGATCTCTATGGCAAAAAAGCAACTTATTTTGCATTTACCGTTTCCACAAAGAGAAAAGGTAGTCCTCCATGCATAGATATAACTCTACTACGTTACTATAGGCAAAAGTTTTGGCAAAATCCATTTGACTGTTTTCACGAAGAGACATAAGTGACTCAGGAAATGAAAAAAAAATCACAATTTGTGCCTGGTACTTGCCAATACGGACCGTTTCTGTAAAGAGACAAAATGTACACACGGACAAATGTGTACAAACAAGCAAATGTGTTTGATTACAAAATGAACAATTTTAATTGATTCGTATAACTGTGATTTGGTGGTTTCTGTGTCATTTAAGATCGATCTTCCACGAGGTAGCTTTTAGTAGTCCAGGGAAAGTCAAGTCTCGGGGAAGTGTTCGTTTGCAAATGAAACCAACTTTAAATGCGATTTTCTCGAAACCTGATTTTAACTCCTCGGAGAAGTCTTTTGTCTCTTTGTGAAAACGGTGACGAATGGTGACTTGTTTTATAGAGTTCCTTGGTTTAATCTACATAACCTGTCTTACCTCGTGATAGCTGCTTTGAGGGTACATATCAGCAAGGGCGATGCTATACAGAATGATATTGCCACCAGCAATAAGCGAAGACAGAATGGACATAACCATGCATCCAATGGCCTGTTGAATAAAATAAAACAAAAACTGCCTCACATTGTGTAGAAGCACAATCTTAAAAGAAGGTTAATAAAATTTCAGCAGCGACGGCAGCAGCATCAAAGGTGAAACCAACAACAAGAGTAACAGTAAAGGAGGCATGCATGGATCTATCTGTCCTGCTACACAAATCAAGCAACGGTCTCCTCTTTACTTTCAGATTTGGAGCAACCAGGAGCCTTGTATTACGAGATTTCACCGGGTAGCTCGATGGTGAGCCGATGTTGTCAGGTGACGTACGAAGATCAGCTGACGCCTACCAACCAATCATCATTTTTTAACACCTTTCACCTCGAAATGAGGCCACATACATTTTACATTCTTCCCTATTTAAAAAAAAGGTAACCGCTGTACCAACAGTTCTAAATATACTTCAGACGTATGAGAAAAAGGATTATGAAGTAAGGATAAATTACATGCGGTTTGTGCGCTCGAACGAGTAGTACATTTTTTGGATAAAAAGTCACGTCACTTTTATTTTAAAAATGGAAATTGTTTTTCAAAGTGCGGTACCTGTCATTTAATGGGATTAATAGCGGGGCTCCTCCCATTTTAGTGTTTATTCAATAAAGCATTTTTTATGGAGCGAGATTCAGAAATGGTCATCTCGAGACTGGCGCATTTGCTGTAGCATCGTACACGTACCTACCTCCGATCCGCTGGAAGTTGTGCGGATCAGCTATCTTTTTCATCTAACACCCCGTCCAACAATAAGTCATTTATTTCAAGCTTACATTGCCAAATGTCTTACCGTGCATCTGCGGGAGCTGACACTCAGCGTCACGGACAATATGCCCAGGATCCCGGCAGGGAGGTAAAACTGAAATGAAAAGAGGCCTCGATTGACACGCCTGGCCCCGTATTGCCGAAACGCTTGTTCAAAGATTGCACCGCAAAGTCACATGACCTTCCAATAAAACCACACAACTTGCACGTACAATCTGCCTACTACCGTGCATGTCTTGTTGTTGCATTTTCATAAACGGGGGCCTAATTATCCTGCGATGTAAATGCCCGCATGGCACTCCACATGAATTAATTAACTTAGCATTCAACCGAGCATGCACATTGTTTATGGATACAAAGGCTGTTGTCTACTGTGGGTTTTGGGGTACATCTAGCCCAGTCTCTGGGATCATATGAAAGTTATATCCGCCCCGAAATCAGGTTTCTTTTACGTTATTTGTGCAACAAATCATACTCAGTACTTTGGTAAAGTTCCATTAATTCGTGGTTCCACTTCGTCATTCAACTGCTGGAATTTTCACATTTTCCTGTGCGATGAAAGACCCGAGTTACAACCTTTTTTAAGTATACTGAACGAGAAAACTTACAAAGACACCTCCCCAAGCAGCAGAACACACAGTTGTGAGAGTGTACCAGGTAAACATAACACCCGATGAAATACCCAAAACGGCAGAAACCCCCGACAGGACGATCTGTAGAATGCCCAGCGACTTGACCGAGCAGGAGTACCGGCTGCGCGTGCGTCGGAGAAGCAGCGGAGCGGCCACCTGCATCTGCACGGTCTGAATCGGTGGAGCAGCCGCCTGCATGTTGGTCTCTTCACGTATGTCTTTTAATAAACTGTAGAGGAAAAAAAATAACGTAATGAAAGGATGATTATAAATTTAAAGTGTCATATCCAATACTTTATTGCAGTCCAACCAACAAACTGTAAATGAAGAGAAAATTAGGCAGGATTTTTTTAATAAAGAGAACGAAGGTTTTACTTACTCGAGAGGAACCACGATACCAGTTGGTCTGACCTAAGACCAAAATGGCCGAAAGATAATTTTACCCGCATAGATAGAGGAACAAATGAAATATTAAGGTACCAGGCAGGCCATGGGTCTTTGACGGCTCCGCCCTCTATCCCTCGAACAGTACAACGCTGGCTCGAAAGGTCATGTGGTCAAATTTCGAGCAAACGAATTGTCAAGTGTCAAGTACAGGTTTCCAAAGTCCATCTTTGGCGATAAAAAAAAATAATAGGCAGCAATAAAAAAAAGAAGCTCACAGCTTGGACCATGTACCAAGCAGCGCAAATGCTTTACTCGGCTTGGACAGTACATCGCTGCCAGGGTGACTATCTTAACAGATTTTCGGCTAAACTCGACAGGTTTTTTTTCCGAAAAAAACTGCTTTTGACAGAAAACTGAACAGAGTGAGTACTTTTAGGGGATTTTCAGCAGCATTGTGAAAAAAGTCGAATTCTAGCAGAAAAATTTAGCAGATATGATGTTTTGAACGATTTTTTCCCAAGCAAATCATGATTTTTGTTGAGTTTATGCACAGCGGGACAGGTTGGCCAATGTATGCGTTGAAGTTGTAAGGTGCCCAGACGTCATACTGCAGAATTATTACCAAATATTTCCAGGTTCGACCCAGTCTAATTGTCCTAAGCCACGATCAACGGCTGTTATGAATACCCATCTACAACTAACGATAACGTGGTAAATATCAATCGTGATTAGGCACTTATTTATCATGTAAATGTAATTCAAAGTAGTTATAATGCATTTTGTTTAATATTAAGTGATTTGACAGATTTGTGTCCGATTTAGCTGAATTTTGAAGTGCATCGAGCAGAATTGCACCATTTGTATCTGATCATCCTGATTGCTCCCGAGTTCAATTACACATGGTTCAACCATATATTGTTGAGAGAATTCCATTCACGATAGGGGACAGACGGCTGGAGGAATTAAAAAATCGAAGTTGTCCACTTTCTGTGGAAGTCCTCTTTCCTTTCAAGCGGTTTTTATTTAACAGGAGAAAACAAAAGCAACAAGATGAAATACGTCGGTCAAAATAGGATAAAAATGATCAATCAAAAATGTTTTAAATTACTCCGAATTTTGAAACCTAATCTTCTCATTCTCTCATTTTCTGATGACTACACGGAGGCGAAACAAACCGGAAATTATCCATAAGCGCAAGAATCGAGTAATCGACCAATCACGAGGTCAACACTTTCAAGTTCAAATGTGACCGCAAAAACGCGCTGTTTGAGCAGCTACACGTACAGGCGTACATGTAATTGGAATTTTACCCAGCCCTTGACACCAATTCTGTTATATTACTGTCCTGCTAGGGGTCATATCTGACAGAATATACCTACATCCACCTTACTTCATGTCTGTCTGTACCAAGTGTATATGTACAAAGAAATTAAAAACTGATAAATACTCAGTGTCGTAAAATTGTGTTTTAAAACATGGGTCATTGTTGGTCAATCAATCACTCAGCTTGTGTCGTACATACACGCAGCTGAACTATTACCCGGGCGCCGACCCCTGCAGAATACACGTGTGATAAAGCTCGTCATAATTATGTCACCTGAAGGCGTATTTATACGGAAGTGTATTTAGGACATGACTGAAAACAGTTGGCCCACTGATCCACCTGGGCAGATTAGCATCTCTCCTGGGCGAAATTGCAGTCCAACCGCAGCCGAGACATAATTCGCCCCCGCTAAATACTAATCCGCCTGGGCGAATTAGTGGGCAAGTCTTTTGGGTCAGTCATGTCCTAATTGCACCTCCGTAGTCCTAGCTCTGCACTTGTACTTGAACTTTGAACCTTTTATTAATCAATCGGATGCAGTCTTGCGAGCAATTTTTGTACAGTGCTGCAGCGGCAGACACGTGACGGTGAATCATTCTCGTCACGTCACAGAGCTTCCATTTTGTCGATTGGTTTGCGTGTGCGTGCTCAGTCGGCCATTTTGCGTGTGGTTTGTTGTCCTTCCGCATAATAATTACTTTGAAGCAAAGGTGCCAGACTGGTCCACACAAGGTGAGTCGGTGATAACTTTTTGTCGATTGACATTTTTTATCTTATATCACAGATTAACTGAAGGCTAAACATCCATGCACAGTGGACCTTTACGAGAACAGACCTAGTCAAGAGATTAGAACGGTGATTATTGTACCCTGAAACGCATGTGATGGGTGTCACGGGGCCAGTGGGATCTCAAAATAAATAGGGAATGGAAAAAATTGGCCTGTGTCCATGAAAATTCCTTAGAAAGGATACCCTCTTTCATTGATGATGGTAAATCAAACCAAACCGCTGCTACGTTGTGCTTTGCCCTCATGTGTCGTATAAACAAAATAATGTTCTGGCACACTACTACGCAGACAGAACGTGTGCAGTTGTCACCCATCATAACATGCTATAACGAATTCCAGGCACAAATAGCCTTCTTGACTCTGCTTTTCTTTGTTGTTGAGCAGTTCCAGCGTTGAATTCGGGTGATTCACAATAGTTCGCCCCCAAGAGTTTGCAACGCGTTGGCCAATCACGGTGCGCGAATTCTGTCGACCCGATGCGCGTTTGGTATGGGTCGATTTCGCTCAATATGTACAATAGCAGCTGTAGCAGAAGAAAAGCAAACAAAGTAATTTCCTTGGCCAACATGTCACTTTCAGGTTTTAGTCTTTGAACAGTGGAAAAATGAACAGTTATCAAGAAAGTAAAAAGGAAAAACGGCCATCTTGAAAATAGAAAATCAAAAGCCTGTCTTCCTCCTTTTATCAAAAGCCTAGACGCTAAATATATTTTTTACTTGACCTAATTTCCTTCGCTTATTTACACAAGCATATAGTGTAAATGGAGTGTAGTTGGATTATCCATTTTTCCATCCGCAGTGCTCAATTTTGACAGAAGATCTGTCGCGATGCAGCCCGGTCAAGTCGTCGCGTACCCGCCTCCCGCCCCAGCCGTACAGATGCAGGTGCTAGCTCCTCCAGCCCCGCAACCCGGGCCGAGCAAGTACTCCTGCGGAGCCAAGTCGCTCGGGATCCTCCAGATCGTTCTCACAGGCGTCTCGGTAGCCGTGGGGATTGTCAACATCCTATTTCAGTCCTATCTCAGCTTCATAGCCAGTCCCATTTGGGGAGGGCTAGTGGTGAGATTTCCAATATCAAAGTGTTTTTTAGACGTACGTTACGGTCCAGCTGATTGGCTATTTTCTGGGATAAAGACTAGGATGGGATAATAAGTCAGACAATCAAATTAAGGCATTTTATGATGAAATTTCCGTCTAATAGTAGAATATCTGGAGCGCCGAGTTCTGTTTGGATTACAAGCAGGGAAGCAAATTTTGAAGCTTTTTCGGGATTTTGTTTTGTTATGTTAAAGACATGTCTATTCAAAAGACCCAAAGACAATTACATTTCTTTCTATTGTTATCAGTTTTACCTCCCTGCTGGGATCTTGGGAATTGTTTCCGTGACAACAGCTGTGTCTAAGCGAAGATGTCAGGTAGGAGTTAGTTTTACAGACCATCTGATAAAGAGCCTCTGGATTTTTTTTATTGCATTCAGTATGAACTCCATATTGTGATGGAAATTTTGTCCCCATGGCCTTGAGTGCCCGTCGTAATAACGACCTGTAAGCCTAGTGTATAGAAACAACGTTTTTAAAAAGCCAACAAGTCTGTGCTCTCGGCTGTAAACTGTTTGTTCGTATCCATTTTGTCAAGCTTTCCGAGAGAAAGCAAAGTTGGTTGTTTCAACGAGAAGTCTCGCGTTTGATACTTTCACAAATGTCACTGCGAATCAGTAAGCATCAATGGTGGCGACATCGACGACAACATTGGCTGGCAGGGATGACAAAATGATGACAATAATAATGACTTTGTTGAGAGTTGCATTGTGATCTAGTGCAACAATATAAACGGGTGGTTGACACTGCAGAGGTGTTATGTTAATGATGTTGAGTTGGTGGAGTTCTTTGGTGTCTTGTTGAAATACTGTGTCGTGCCGGGACGCGCAGTGCAGTGCTGCAGGATGTTGCACTGCGCGCGCACAGCGTCGTGCTGTGTGTTGTTTGCCTCCTTGGTTGCCATTCCATCCTTTGCTCCTCTTCCCTCCGCAGGCCACAGGATGCATGGTGATGTCCATACTGGCGGCTTGCATCGCAGCGGGAAACATCATATGTGCAGGCATCTCACTTTCCGGCGACACCTACTGGGGAAGGGGCCTGGTAAGTCCGTCATCGAACGATTCCGGAATTTTAGAGAGGACAAGGTGGAAAACGAGACGATAGACACAGCCAATACACACTCGTTGGACTCATGCTCAGGAGAACTTGACAATAAGCAGTTGCTTCATTTTGTATGAATAAAAGGAGTAGGTTCTACAGAATCGGAGTATTTATTTGACACTTTTCAAGACTGGGTCAGGGCAAGCTTGAAAACGAGGAGCATTCACTAATGTTCAAAATTGCAGCGTTCATGAATGTCATTCGAAAGGAAAGGCTCTATGTCTTCAGGAGGGAATCTCAAGAAACCAGATGCAGGCAGATGTACCGATTTGAGAGTGGCAGAGCAATTTTCTTCAGGGTTATTGCGATCAAAATTACTGCCATCGTGCTTATCTGCCATGCTGAGGTCTCAAGATTCAGCACCGCGCTGAACTGTGTGAGTCTGGACGTGCAGACATATGAAGCCCTATTGCGCAAAACCATTCGCAGTGCAGTCAGCCACAAACATAAAGCATTTGCTAATATTTATACTAGTAGATGCTGAATCGTAAAAGAAACATTTTTATTCATCTAAATTCAAGCAGGTATTTTTTTTGCGTTGGGGAGATGTTAATTTATAAAACAGATTTTGCCCTTACCCAACGTATATATTAATAAGCACTGTATGCTCAGTGCTTGGCCGAGAGCTTGCGAAAAAACTCACAAGCTGCACTAGTAAGC